TCGCGCGCGCAAGACGAAATCCTTCCAAAAGCTTAGTGTTCGGAGCGATTTTAACATAAAAACATCAAAAAACCAATGGTTTTTCAACAAAAAAATGTCAAAATCTCATCCCGCGCGCTCTTGCGGATTCGTAGGAAACCCAACACTTTTTAAACATTTCTGTCAAACGGGCTTTTGCGAGCAACTTTTTCGAACTTCTGCGACAACGGTTGCGCACCTGCCAGGGCCATCATCCCTGTCAAATAATACCATGCGGGACACATTCGTTTTTTCTTCGCGCGCGCACGCCGTCGTCGTCGGCCGCGGGGCCCTGAATAGTAGCCACGGTCGTCCGCATGCCACGAAGTGAAGTGTCCGAACGTCATAGGGCGGGAAGCTGGGTGTGGGTGGTGGCGAAGAGTCGTTTGGAAATTTGGTAGAGCTTGAACCGGCCCCCCCACAAAGTGGGGGTATTGCCCGCCTCCTATGAAAACCCTGGCACTGGTGAGAACGGAGTGTCCCCACGTGCTAGTAATTGTTGTTGTTGTTGTTGAACATTATTTATTCTAAAGAATAATTATTGTTGGGCCCCCTGGTGCGCGCCCCCCTGCGCCGCCTAGGCCGCAGCTACATTTTCATCACTTTCGTGAGGAAGCCTCAGGTAAAACGATGTGATCCAGATCCGGTTGTTTTGTTGTAATCCGTTTTCCCTTGCAAAAAACACTATAAAATGACATTTCTTGTTCTAATATAATCAAATTTCAAGAATCCCTTGCAAAAAATAAGGTAAAGTGGACATTCGCGCGCGCAAGACGAAATCCTTCCAAAAGCTTAGTGTTCGGAGCGATTTTAACATAAAAACATCAAAAAACCAATGGTTTTTCAACAAAAAAATGTCAAAATCTCATCCCGCGCGCTCTTGCGGATTCGTAGGAAAACCAACACTTTTTTAAACATTTCTGTCAAACGGGCTTTTGCGAGCAACTTTTTCGAACTTCTGCGACAACGGTTGCGCACCTGCCAGGGCCATCATCCCTGTCAAATAATACCATGCGGGACACATTCGTTTTTTCTTCGCGCGCGCACGCCGTCGTCGTCGGCCGCGGGGCCCTGAATAGTAGCCACGGTCGTCCGCATGCCACGAAGTGAAGTGTCCGAACGTCATAGGGCGGGAAGCTGGGTGTGGGTGGTGGCGAAGAGTCGTTTGGAAATTTGGTAGAGCTTGAACCGGCCCCCCCACAAAGTGGGGGTATTGCCCGCCTCCTATGAAAACCCTGGCACTGGTGAGAACGGAGTGTCCCCACGTGCTAGTAATTGTTGTTGTTGTTGTTGTTGTTGTTGTTGTTGTTGTTGTTGTTGTTGTTGTTGTTGTTGTTGTTGTTGTTGTTGTTGTTGAACACTATTACTTCTAAAGAATTATTATTGTTGGACCCCCTGGTGCACGCCCCCCGCCCAAAACCTAGGCCGCAGCTACATTTTCATCATTTTTCTGCGAAAGCTTCAGAAAAGTGGATTACCCCCGGATCCGGTTTTTTGTTGACGCTCGTTTTCCCTTGCAAAAAACAATAGAAAATGAAAATTCTTGTTCTTAGTTGATCAAATTTCAAGAATCCCTTGCAAAAAATAAGGTAAAGTGGACATTCGCGCTCGCAAGACGAAATCCTTCCAAAACCTTAGGTTTCGTAACGATTTTAACATAAAAACATCAAAAACCCAATGGTTTTTTAAGAAAAAATTGTCAAAATGTCCTTCCGCGCGCTCTTGCGGATTCATAGGAAACACACCACTTTTTAAACATTTCTGTCAAAAGGGTCTTTGCGTGCTACTTCTTCAGGTGCTTTGAACTTCTCCAACAACGGTTGCGCGCCTGCGAGGGCCACCATCCCTTGCAAAAAATGAGACGAAGTGCACATGCGCGCGGCCGCCGCGCGCGCATGTCGAAATCCTGCCAAACACAATGGGTTTTCAATAATTTCAAGATGCGATGTTCAGAAAACATATGAAAACGCACTACTTTCTCATCCGAAAAATCTCGAAATCCATTCGCGGTCTCTTGATGAATCTTTAAAACCCAAGATGGCCCCAACAGGCGCGCAAGATGGCCCCAAGAGGCGTCCATGAGGCCCAAAGAGGCGCCCAAGATGGTCCCAAGAGGCTTCAAGAGGACTCCAAGAGGCCCCCAAGAGGTTCCAGAGAGGCTCCAAGGTGGCTCCAAGAGACCCCCAAGATGGCCCCAGGAGGCGTTCTAGAGGCCCCAAGAGTCCGCCGTGAGGGTCCAATAAGCCCCCAAGAGGCCCCAAGATGGTTCCAAGGAGCCCCCCAAAGGCTCTCAAGTGGACCCCAAACCGCGCCAGGAGGCTTCCCCCCTTCCCCAAGAGGACCCCAAGCGGCCCCAGGAAGGCCCCCGACTGCTGACGCACATATCCGTAGCCATCTCGGATCAAGGTATCGCCTGTGTTCTTGGATCATGGCTTTGACGGCGAAAGACCTTCACGAGCAGTATGGCCCTGAGCTGTCGCGG